GCCACTAGAAAAAACGAAGGATTTGCTATACTGAATAAGTGATAAAATTTTCTTATTCGAAAATGGGAAGAGTAATGAGCCAATCTCACTTCCTTGTATAACCCCACAAGCTTAGATTTGCAAGATTCAATGTGAAACATTCGGCTACGTCCTGCTTAAAAGATTTGAACAAAAAATAAAAGGAGATCCAGCATACCTAATGAGGACAGTTTTAGAAGAACGCTGTGTGATACACTGTCGAAGGCCTTACTGAAATTGAAGCATAGGATTATTGCTGATTAACCAACATCTCTTCGCTAGGTAATTTGATGAAAAATCCCAAGTGCGATGTAGAGCACGGGCGTTTAGTCAAAAGCATATGTTGAATGAGCTAATTAGGCTTGCCAAAATTAGGAATGATAAAAGCTGTTTGTGGATAATTTTTTTCATGATCCTTGATAGCACGGATGTCTTGTTAGTTAGTAATGTCTCTTTATGATCCGGTTCTGAAACTAGGTACGAAAAGCGATGTTATCCATAAGGATGGACAAGCTCCATAGTTCATAGATAGGTTGAACATTTTTAAACAGAATAATGGTGTTATGACTCGTAGGTTGAACGCTTTATTCGGATCCTAGCTATTCGGATAACCCCAGGCTAGCACTACTCAGCGACTTGAAAGACCAGAGAGAAGACACGAGTATCAGAGAATCACTTTACTACAAGGTTCATTTATGTACAGAAAAAACAGGGGTTTTATAGCAATTAAAAAGACCTTGAGATTCCATAGTAGCAGTATGTTTAACAGCCAATCAGGACCTCGTTATTTTAGTAGCATAGCTTCTAACTAATCGCTGATTGGTTGGGCTCTTTACGAGCCTCTCTGGAGGCTCTGATAGAGTTTATTGTAAGCTGACCTAACACCTCCCCTTTTTTGAAGATTCGAAGATTAGATTTTGATTTTTTTTAAATTATCTGTAAGTTGAAATTCTCCATCATTTCCTCCCCCGCGAAATGATGTTGGATCTTCATATCTCCAATTTACAATTAATATGACTTTATTTAGAACACAATTCTCGTATTGAATGCAGAATCCATTAGAAATGAATAGATGATGATGAACGATATTTGATTTTAGGTCATCAGAATTTGGCTTTTCTGAAACATCTCCATCAAATTCATTAAGATTTTCACTGGAGGATATTTGATAGCTAGGGGAATCATCATCTAATGAAATTGCTTTAGGTTTTTGATCATCATTTGATTCAACCGACTTAGTTTCCTCAACTTCATAAGAATTTTCATCAAAATCATGTGCACCATTCCAGCTTTCTTGGCCGATATCATGTAACCCGTAGTTTAATTGTGATTGAAGTTTGTCTTCAGAAATCGGCGGATTGAGTGGTGCTTCATTAGACTCTGGGCTCAGGGCTTTGACTAAGGAACCTTGTTTTTCTTTGACATCTGATACTGTCACAGTTTCATGTGCATTTAGCAAGATATTGTCTTGCTCTGAACCGGCCAACTTACCCATTTTGCCTTTTCCATCAGATGTGAAGGGAAATGAACCCTCAACTTGGCGTTCTTCTGGGACGGCCATTTTAGCACCATTATTGAAAAACTTGTCCAAGACTGTTTCAAATAGTTGCTGCTGGAAGGCTAGCATCTGTCGTTGCCGGTGCTCTAAGATTATCAGCGCCTGTTCTAAAGAAATCGTCATTTTTTTCTGCTGATAATAATAATAACTCCGAAAATTCGCCGGCAATTATTACAGCTTGTTTGATTCCCGAATCACGTCTCGGTTGCTGTATTTCTTTTTGCCAGAATCCTCGACGACAATTGTTGTATTTTTTTGTACCGAAAACCCCGACAACAATTGTTTTCTTTTGCCGAAATCCCCGTCGCCACTGTTATGACTCGTAGGTTGAACGCTTTATTCGGATCCTAGCTATTCGGATAACCCCAGGCTAGCACTACTCAGCGACTTGAAAGACCAGAGAGAAAACCCGAGTATCAGAGAAGCACTTTACTACAAGGTTCATTTATGTACAGAAAAAACAGGGGTTTTATAGCAATTAAAAAGACCTTGAGATTCCATAGTAGCAGTATGTTTAACAGCCAATCAGGACCTCGTTATTTTAGTAGCATAGCTTCTAACTAATCGCTGATTGGTTGGGCTCTTTACGAGCCTCTCTGGAGGCTCTGATAGAGTTTATTGTAAGCCTACCTAACAAATGGAAATTCTCCGCCACCGTACTCCAAGACTGGTGCGGAAATGCCATTAGGTCAACCGTTATAGGACCTTTCCAGGGTAGGTATGGCTTTCTTGATGTTGACGATTGTGAGATCAATTATGTATAGATGCATGAATATCAACAATAGAAGCGTATTGACAGAGGTTTCAGTTTTGTGTTGTGGCATCGAGAGAAGTGGTTAAGCTGTTGATAAATATTATCACCGTTGCATATAACGCTGCCGTTAACTATGATGAATCTGGCTGTATCAAGAGAATTTAATTTCACGAGAGATTAGAAAGGCCAGAGAATTGATAATTCCGGAATTTTACTGCATGGAAAAAATGCTGTGTCACTGTTATCTGAAATAAGATTACGATGGCAAGCATTCAATAAGAGTTGCAGTGCGCTTCTAAGTTTGTTGATCAAACTGCCTGCTCTGGTACATTGCTGCAGCTGTATAGATCGATCGTAAAGGTGATGCGACAACTGACGAGGATAATAGTGAGCATTCGTTGCGATCGACTATGGTTAAGCAGTATCGATACGTTCAGTGAGTAATCCTTCTACTTCAACTGAAAATTGATGAAGTCCATACAGCTACGTATAAAAATCTAATACAACTTCAAAGTACGAACAAGGAAAAGAAACTCAGAATTTGGTGTGATTGAGAAGTGTAAAGACGCAATGTTCTCTGTCATTTGATCAGCCCATGTGACGTTTCCTTTATCAGGGTTACAGTGACCACCTAATAAATGTTAATGAGGTCAGTGAAGTAAACTTGTTTTGAACACTATAAACAGTAACACGCATACCTTTTAAATCCTTTTTGTTCTGAGCGGTTCTACTTTGTTTACCATGCATGATATTTGATGTGTTATCAAACGGAGTCTTCACAACACATCTGGTATCTAGGGTAATATTGGCACGGAAAATCACTAACCACCTGAGCTGCCGACTTTAAACCTCATAGCTCTATTACATGTCATTTTTTTCACTGCTAATATATATTGTTCAGTAACGCGTTAATAAGTTGTATATTAGTTTAGATGGACTTTATATTTCAAGGAGCTCTAGTCAACATTTATGGCCTGTATTGACACGGATCAATGCCCCTAGATTTAGTGATGTGTTCATGATAAAGGGGATAGAGGGAGTTTTAAGCCGGCAGAATCCAACATCTCTATGGACACCATTTCTGAAATAAAAGAAATGAATGACGTGGGTCTGCTTAGTGTTAAGTTTAATAAATACGTAGCTATCAAGTTATCTTCTGTATTATGCGATGCACCTGCTCGTTCTGACATTAGATATATGGTTAGGCACAGTGAAAAGTCAGGTTAAATGTAGTTGCTAGACGATGGGTAGATGACTTTTCCAAATTTTGAGTATATGTCACGAACTGACAACAGCTTTCGCCATCAGACTCAATCTATTCACATCAAGGTCATTCCATTTTCAAAACCTTTCCAATTAACATGATCCCTACTTCCTATTAGATCCCATGCACATGGTGCACTTAGGTGTCACAAAGAAAATTGTCAATCTCTGGATAGAATTAGCACACGAAAGGCTAATGAACTTGAACTCATGTGTAATTGGGGAAATAAACAAGTCAATATCTTGTTGCGTGTGAAGTACCTCATCCGACATTCAGCGTAAATACCGTGCACTAGACTTCATATCCGTATGGGAAGCGTAGAAGTGCAGGTTGCTTCCTCTATATTTAGGCCTAGCAATTCTGCAAAAAACTTTGCCGCAACCTTTGAATTTTAATTTCAAGCGTCTAGCTTTATCCTTTTATTTGCTTGCACATCATTAATTACATAATAGCGTTATAGAATGCGTCAGAATGGATTTAAGGGACTTTCTTAGAGAATATGAATGATGTTATCGATGTGAAAAGTTAGTTTATAATTTGAAATCGTTACAACACCTTCCTGACTGTGTTCGTGCACATGGACCTTTAGATAGTTATTCAGCATTCCCATTCGAGTCTTCTACGAGACAAATTAGGAAATCTGTACATAGCGTGTATTCTGTTGCGAGACAAGCATCTCAGCGTTACGCGGAAAAAACGTCTTTCGGTGATAGGCTTCAAGTGGGCATTTCGACTGACAGTACCCCGATAACCGGTAAGGTGGAGGTGCATTGAAGCGTAAAGAAGGGTTTCTTATAATTCAGTTGATATGGATGTGATTGGGATGCAGACTGGAAATAGCCGCATCCAATATCCCAAGTTTCCGTTGTTCGACGGTGTTGTCTCTCTGATTTCGAAGTAGGTTTCTTTACTTCACAGACGTGAATTAACTATTTCTACTCAATTAGACACGTCGCCATCAACGGCCGAATCTAGGCGTGTAGGCAGTGTCTTTGCGGCTGACTAAGTCACCTGTAAGATCAGAATACGTTTTTCAGATTTGATAGACTGCATACTGTGCAGCAGAACATATCGTCAGGTATTTCCGAATTGAGTGTAAATGTGAAGCAGCTACTATTGAAGCTTGATGAGCGCGAACATCCGCGGCATTTCGACTGTAGATTATCAAGTCAACAGTTCCATTTGTCATCTGAATAGGAATTGGGAACGTTGGACGCTTTTCTGGAGCAGAAATAAATAAGGAACAGGTTTGTAAGCCGACAACAATATTTGATCACTTGTTCGTATTACAGATGTCCATGTTGACACGTTTAATGGATGATGATCTATGATAATCAGAAGTATTTGAATTGTAGTATAAACTAGTAATCCCAGGAATAACTCAATGTAATCAAGAAGTATTAGATGAGCCCGAACGAATGTATTGTATTTGGAATTCAAAATCACAACAGTCATCAATACGAAGAAGTCATTGGTTTATTTAAACACCACAACCGCCACAGCTCGAATTGGAGTGTAAGTGTCTGTAATCGATTGTTCTTCTTCTTAAGTTCATCTTACATCGGTCCGAAAGTGTATTGGATGTAGACTCTGTATTATCTAGAATGTACTCGTAAGTATTAGAATTAACAACCGAAATTGGAACAGACTCACCTGGGTTCCGGAATTGTATACAACCAGCATGTCGATTTTGTAGTGAAGCCATTGATATTTAGAATTTGCATCATAGAATTTCCAACAATATCCTCCTCCGCTAAATAATGTTCGGTCCTTACGTCGCAATGTTTTAGCCAATATGACGCTCCCAATTTGCATTATCTTCTCAAATCTCACGCATCGACTACTGTATGTGAGTATTTGGGGATAAACACTGATATATCATTTGAGGTATTCCATCATGTGACTTTGACTTGAATAAAAATCATGATACATATTCTTTTTGTTATTCATATTAGAATACACAGATGGATATGCATTGATATATGTAATTAATACATGTGATTCAACGAGGCTCGATTTACCTGCGAAACAATCGAATAGAAAACATTCATCTGCCTCATATTCATTAGGATAATCTTGGACTTGATTTGGATTCTCTGTCTGTGCAAACTTCACTTCTGGGCAAGCTGGTTTTCTGATTATTCCGATAAATTTTGCTATCCCCTCTGATTCATTATACTCCTGACTAGGGATTCTATTCAACATACATTGTTCGTGAGAGTGTCCAACATCTGACACAATAACATCAGAAATATGACTAGAATTCGACTCATTCGGAACATATTTTTCACATTCATTAGGAATATCATTAGAGATAAATTGATTGTGAGGACCACTGACACTTGATATGATATCAGAATTCGATTCTTCGAAAATATTTTCCTCAAATTGATTAAGAGTTTCATTAGATAATGGATCATCAGGGAATTCAGCATCTACCATGACTGAATTTGGTTTTTGATCATGATTTGACTCATTTAACATTCTATTCTCAGAGTTGTAAGAAATTCCATCAGGAGTATGTGAATTATTACTACAAACCATATCTGGTTCAATGACATGAGAAATCCAATAAGTTCGTTGGTTAAAATTTTTTGTCTCACAATGATTCTGAGTTTCATTCAACTCTGGACTGCTATGTGACGTTATACCACTTCTAGATAAAGATAACTGATCATTAGAAGCATCCATTTTAGCATTACTTTCAGCAAAATGAAGCATGGTATTACAAATTGACTGAATGTGTCCAGTTTCACCACAGTTAAAGCATTTAGAATTACGAAATACACATGAATTACATGGGTGAAACTTGCCACAGAACACGTATTTACTAAACTCGTGCTCATCTTCATGGACTGTTTCACAGCTCAATAAAGTATTATCTGAGTAACTTTGATTACGCATCGAACTGCGACGACTTAGTAAAATAGTGGAATTCCTGATGTTCTGTCGAGTCATTTTACCGGATTTTTCTCACTTACCGCATTCAGAATTTGTATACTTTGCATGATCCAACAGTAGTTGCTTGAGAGTTTCATAGGGGAGTGAAATCGGTTTGTCTGGAAGTGCCAAAGTCTTTATAAGGCTGTATGCTTCTTTTCCGATCAATGTAAGGAAATGGGCCACAATATTAAAATCATCATCTTCCTTGGTCATAGCCCAGATTTCGAACCACTACATGTACTCCTCAAAAGCATTAAAATCTGAATTTATATCCAACCGTTCCATCACAGGCTCAATCGCGACGCCAATATGATAATCAGAAGTATTTGAATTGTAGTATAAACTAGTAATCCCAGGAATAACTCAATGCAATCAAGAAGTATTAGATGAGCCCGAACGAATGTATTGTATTTGGAATTCAAAATCACAACAGTCATCAATACGAAGAAGTCATTGGTTTATTTAAACACCACATGATCCCAAAACGTCAATGCTATATATCTTGTCGTACATCATGACACCTGAAGTTGCCTGTCGTTTCACGCTACATGGCACTTCATCAAAACGAGCCGTTTAAAATAGCATTTTGCGGCTGCATACTGAAAATACCACCAGTATAGTAGTTTGACAACTCTTTACCAGTGACACTTTTTATAATCGAATCGCACCCACCCAGTTAAAATCAGAAGCGAAAAGGTTGGAAGATATATTTGATGGGTTATCAATATGTCGAGTAGTGATTGATCTAATCTGGCCAATGATCGTGGGAGATGCTTCCCACGCCGTTCTGTAACGTGATCTGGTACGGATGCATGACCTAGCGCCTTCAGCTAAACAAGTCCACTAAAACTAATGTGGTCGGCATCCAATGTCGAACACTTACAGAGCTATTGGTTTTGGGGATTTATTAACAGCTATAATACGAAGCAAGATGCATATATTTTTTAAACTTCAGATGCATTGGTAAGACTTTAATTTATGGACGACCTTGAAAGAGCAAATCTTAAGTGACCTTGAGAAATGTTAGCCAATCGGTAAACAGTCAGTATAAAGAAAATATATTATACAATACCAAGTAAATACTAAATAAATGTGGATACACTTCTTCTATATGGCCTAAAAACTTGTCAAGGTTAGAAAAAGGTTCAAAGGTTCCAAAATTGTAACGCGTAAGGTAGAGTAACTCATCCATATGGCTCCATAATAGTTGATAAGGTCACAAAAACCCTCTCAGCCTCGACCACATAGCTTCAATATTGTTTGTGTGTACTACGGTTGTGTAAGTTTATCATTTTATTATGGATATGTCCCTACAATACTCATACCACTGAACAGCCGAGGCTTCAGTAACATCTACGTTCATTGCGACCAATGTTGCTGATGCCTTTTGTTGTATCCCCTGGCGAATTATGAATCATAAATCTGATGTCCATTTATGGACAAATGTAATACGCCTATTCCTATTGGATAGTTGTTAAATGAGTAACCTAAATCTGATGTCTATTTATGGACAAATACAATATGCCCATTCCCTATTGGATAGTTGTTAAATAAGTGACCTAATCGTTTCCGTGTTCCTCTTATCACAACCTTTGTTTTGACCTTGGAACTATTATTATTGATTACTTTCCCCCTAGCTACAGCCACATTGGCCAATTACTGTACAAATGTTATTTTTCTATTTTTTGGTATAATTGGGTCTGTTTGGTTAGTATATATAACCCAGTGTGCTTGTGAATAATGATTCATATTTCCGAGGCTGTTATTTGTGTTCTGGACTCAACTGGCTGGGCTGGGCAGTTAGGAAGGACCGAATAGCAATCAAGACTGCTCGTACGTATTTTCTGTATCATTGCACGTTTCATATACAATAACGATTGTTATACGAGTCATAACACCTTTATTATACAGTTTGCGGCAATTATTATAATACACCTTAGTCTCGATCTGGATGGAGCAATAAAGGTTCCTATTCTAGCAAAGGTCTTCCTTCAACACATATTACATCGGAGGACATGATCACGGTAGTCTGCACAAGGTCTACAAGTTATTTAATATCCTCAGTTACAGATAGAGGAACTTCTTAGTAGTCTCATTTGTTGTAGCCGATTAATTGTCAAATCTAATATGTACTGCCCTACACGTACAGTTCTGTGTTAACAAACATAACCGTAAGTGCAGCTTCAAGTAGCTAGTTGTGCAAAGACAAGTCATTCAGATATTGTAAACTTTTTTCTTCATATTTTAGAATTCACAAGATTATTTTGATTATCAATAGTCAAACAGACGTTAGGAAAAGAAATAATCCGTATGTTTAACTCCGTTTTCAATAAAGGTTTTTCATAAACATGTGCTTACTTTTTTATTTGAGAAATCCTGTTTGATTTTAAATGCATTTGCAATTAAGTACATGTCTTATTAATAAAACAACACCTGCTCTTTCTTTTGAAGCTCTTTTCAAACGACACTGGCACCTAGCAATTGCAATCAAAATATAACGATTGGTGCTCTAGCATCTGCCAACTACTCCTCACGTTGTACAACAACACGCTTTTTGTTCTCAATAAATGTTTTGAACATAAACCATATTTTACGTACATTTCAGTTTTCGTGTGGTGTGTTGTGGGAATGAATGAGAACACAGATGCTTAGGGTTATGCCATAGGTGTTTCAAAATTAAATAGATCAGTGTGTACGTAAGCGAAAAGAAGACTATTTGGCGTATATTTAGACAAAAAGTAGACAATTGAGCGATATGAAGGGGAAAATCTGCATTATTTCCCCCGGACAGGCGAAAAGGCTAACATTTCGGAGCGTTCCCCCGTTATTTTAATGCATTTTCCCCTTTATTTCCCTTTTGTTGTTTGTTTGGGTGTGTCCGGAAAATAAGACCTATGCAGACTATGGTAATTGGAGAATATAAAGCTATCATGGAGAAGCAAGCCTGGTAAGTTAATTATGTAAATCACTATTATTTTAGATAGCAGCAATGAAAATTCTACTAGATAGAGGTATAAGATTGTTTAATTTTTAACACATGGAAAGTAGCGACAATTTCAAACTTACGGTGGTGAACGTATAACATGTATAGATATTTGAACATATTGTAGTTATATATATATATATATATATATATATATATATCGGTGGTTATGCAACAACCAACCATTCGTTTTCTGTATTGCCTCACGGTTAAGCTTTCTCTGAAGTGTCTTGCAGCAACTACAGTAATCACAGAAATCCAGTGCGTGGCAGTGTTTTCCAATAATCATCAACAGCCATGAAGGGAGCGTAAACTATCTGTGATCTGCTCGCTTGTTTCATTTTTTTGCCGTCGATTCCATCTCCAGAAGCTCGAAAAGGGGTCACTATGGTGCAGTAAAAAGTCTTGGATATGCTTTTTGCTGGAAAGTATCTAAAGAATAGTTCTTTTGAGGCTAGAAAGGTCACTATGAAGTGCCTCGTCCAAACTTTTATTCTTATTATTGACGGGTGGAAGCAATGTTTTTTTCGCTGGATAAGAGCATTAAAGCTCATATGTATATATAGTATTTTAAGGACTTCTAGAACATATAAACAAAACTTTATTCAACTTGCAGTACAATGATATGGAAAATTTGAGGAAAATAGCTGAGAAACGTGGATCAGATGATGTGTCCACGTCCGTTTTCATTAGCTCTCTCAATGTAGCTGGGTTCTGCTAATCAATATCACTTTAAATAAAAACAAATCGTCTAAATAAAAGTTCTAGTGTTTCTCGGAATGTTTGGGGATTAATAAAAGTGAACTGAGTTTTCAACAACAAGTCTATGTGAATATTAAAGGAATATTGCCAACCGATTTTCACAGCTTGTGATCAGGTGGATTTTAGTCAAAAGTTCCACATTACTAACCTGGAAAGTTATACACTGAAGTATGATGTAGGAAAATTGATAATTAGTACGAATACTGAGAACAAAGTATTCAGAGTGCTGACAGCCGGATGGTGCAACTTGATTTCCACTAACTATATTCACTGGACCCATATAATTTCCGACTACCAAGCACTGTTAATCCGATGACACCTGAGTGTTATGTTTCAGTGAATAATACCAATGATGTCCTCCCAGCAGTATTTTATACCTAATAAACCACGTGATACCGCTGAGTATTCTCCAAATCTTAAGATCCTAATCCTTCATTCGTTCCAAACCGTTTTCAATGCATATTCAAGATTTTATTTACGAACAATGGGAACTTGAGTGAATACATCAATACGATTAAAACAAACGAAAAACTTTAAGTGTGCGACCTACTTTGACTAGTCTTCTTCAACTTTCGTGAACACAAAAGAGATTTTATGCCACCAGCTAAAGGCATTTCAACTGTTGGAACGACGTACAGTTTTCCGCTTGACAAAATCAAACTCACTTATAGTTAAGGACAAATATCCGTAGATGTTCATTGATGTGAGATTAACAGACTTATCATAACACAGGATACTTTGTGTGGTTGGTGATTAACCGATTAAATATGCATTCAAATCTCGTCTTCTCATACTACTCCATAACTTGAGTGAACGTCAAACGCACTTAATGTTTGCTTGTGTTAAAGTTTTCAAACATTGCATGAGAAACTATCAGCGTTTAAAACATTATCATCATTACCTCTAAGTGTTAGTCAACACTTCATCACAAATCTAGAAAACAAATTAAGAGATGGAGGCAAGTGGGTGAAAAGTGGTTAAATTTAGGTATGTACAAGTGACTCAATAAACAACTTCTGATGATTGATATATACTAATAAAAGCAACCCAGTCTCAAGTAACGACTTTCCGTCAGCAGTCAGTCATGTTTTAATCCACATGGACCCCCAAACAAATGAAATCAGGAGATATAAACAAAGTTACTGAGTAGCCGCACCTAGACCATAACTTTTATCAAAAGTGCATTTTCGTATAATTAAAACACTTCTATGATAACTATTGATTATTAAGTCAATGTGTACAACAAGCGTTGTATTTAGTTATGTAACTTGAATGCAGTAAACTATCTAAACAAATCTACTCTTACAGAGTGTTTGCTGAGATGAAGCAGAATATGTCCACATTATACTTTATATAAGTCGAATGAAGTCAGACCTCTGTAAACAAATATATTTAAAATTGGAAAACAAGAATAACCGCTGAAACGTAACCCGGATTTTTGAGAAACCAATGAGCTAGCAAAAATAGAATCAAACATTCGAAAAATTTAAATACTGAAAATAGTTATCGCCCTCGACAGGTTAACGCGAATTGCATAATACATAACAAATATGAGCATACAGAGAAATAATAGGATCCTCGTTTACATACTCTACAGTCAGAGCATTTAATACATCTTAATAACCTTCTTTGTACAGAAGGAAAGTAACAAACAAGTGAACAAGTTATAGGAAGCCAAGAAGAAATGGTGAAAGTAAATGAGAAAGAAGAATATGGTAGTACAATGCACCCATTTAAATAAAAGTTTCACGATAAAAATCAAACTGAGAAACCAAACAATAAATAACGAAATTGAATTTTAAAGATGAAATTCAACAGAAAGAACTCGCGATGAATTAAAAACGAAAAGGAGATAATATTGTTTGCGTTATGATTTTTATGGAATGAATATGTAATCAATCCGAGCACCATCCAAGAAATTAAAGATAGAAAAATGGAAGAGAGGATGAGAAGTGTAAAACTATTAGAGCAATGTGCAGTCAAAATAGTTTATGAAACTGCTTTTAAAGGGAACATAAATAAGTGCGGAGCACAAAAATAATGAAATTAAAAAAGATGTTAAGGAAGAAGGAAAGAACATTAAAAAAACATATTATCTCTACTTTGAGCAAAACAAATATTACCTTTAAGCTTTACATAAATTGTGATAAACCGGAAAAAAAACTGTAATTTTTAAAATTATATGGAGTTATAAACTATGGACTGGCGGAATATTCAATTACAGGGATTGAAGACTCAGTTGTAGTATTATGAACTATCTGAAGAGAATCAGTTACTGGGCTGTTGCAAGAAACTGGATTAACAACTATATCCGGTGAACATGCTAAATTCATGATCTTGGAGATAGTTTGTGGTTCAGTGGAGGAAATATTTTGATTGGGTGGTTGATGTAGGCGTTGAATTAAAGGATGTCTATAAATCCAGTTGTCTCCCTCTCCACGAAAGTATTCTGGTGTCCATGTATGTTTTGAGTCTCTTCTCTGTCGAGCTAAATCTCGTTGTCGCTGTTCCAAACGGTGTTTAGCATCTGATGCTGCATCGATATTACCCACTTTTAAATTATAAGTCACTTCCTCCCACAATCTACACAAGTGTCAAAAAGAATTTACAAAATGTATATTGAATAAAATAATTCTTCCCAACCTACTGTACTGCACACTTTGTGATTCATTGCAGAATAGCAAAGTAATATAAAAAGCTTTTTGAGCAACTTATAAAATTTCATCCGGGAAGCCGTGAACGTTTGCACACATACAGGTAACGGAATTATTCTTAACAGAAGATAACTAAACATATAAAAGACATTTGTGCAGGTGAATTCGTCGACTTGATAATTTTGATAGACTAGCTATCTCCTGTAGACATATATTTTCCATATCACTATATATACGAATGTACAGCTGAAGTAAATGATTTCGTCGAAAAGAAAAGTTTCTTCGCTGAATCCTCTTTTTCTTATCCAACGACTAGCTATCCGTTTACTGAGTAACGTCAAGTCATTTACAAAGAATCACTAATCTACTAATATTGTTGTTTTATGCATGACAACATGCAACTAGATGATCGAAATCCTACCGAATATTATTTATCATCTTTAATTCTCAACAAGCTGTATGTTGAATAAAAAATATGTTTACACGTTTCATAGAAACCTTACTTTATGTTATGCTAAACTGCAGTTATGATATGAGGATTAAACATCTTTATACTGAAATCATTAGTAACAAACTCCGTCGTGAACGGCAAGAAGGCTTCCTGAATCTCAACAGTCAAGGTTTAAAAGAAAAAGCAACCAACTAGAAGCAACTAAAGATAGCACAAAGTCCTTCGATTATCTCGTTGAGCTAATTGAGTATCGAAAAAATTTTGAACGGAAAGTAAGAATAAATAATGATGAATGATAAGAGTCAGGTAATAACATCATCCGTCAGAATACATAGGTTACAAGTTGCAAAACTATAAAAGGACACTAGTGAAACTAATAACAAAATAAACAAGAAGAGTTGAGAAAATAACTAATAAGTGTAAGATAAGACTTTACGTTGAACTTTTGTTTGAGAAAGTGTTAACTTGTGAACTATTCATTCATTCACTGTAATCGACAGATACAATTTTAGAATGACGAAAACCAGTAAGATGAATTATGATTAATTAAATGCAGAATAATTTCCATAACACATGTTTCCCAGTTTTGTAGAATAGGAGAGTTTAAAATAATGCAGACGACGATGAACGCGGTTGAACACTACAGTAGTAACTATCCTATTAATATGTCACCGAGAGATGGTATTTGATCGCCTCATTCTACATTACTTTACGAACGACAAAAAGTAAATATAGGCTATGCAAAATTCCTTACTAATCATATATATATATATATATATATATATATATATATATATATATATATATATATATATATATATATATATATATATATATATATAGACAATCACATTAACGTACCGTCTTGATTCATTTTCTTCTTGACGAGATCGAGGAAGCACATGTTTTCTTACAGTTGATATGTTACGGGTATCAATAAATAACTCACTTTTCTACAATATTAAAAAAAATTTCTAAAACACTTCTGAATTCTATGTATATGATCGTAAATGACCTACAACAAAAAGAATAGATAGGACGCTTACAAAATAATAACTACAGCTAAAATCCTCATCGAACCACGTGACCAAAAAAATTGAGTGGTATAACACCAAAAACAATCGAGTTAATGACTTAAAAAGAAAATGGGACTTATTTTCGCCTAAGCGGAAAAAATTATCGACACTTACCTGAAACTTTGCATTCCTTTGTGTAAGATTGCAGTAAGCACAGACCAGGAACGTTACTATTAACTAGGACCAAGTTTGTCAACTTCGGCAATTCTGTGCTTGGTGACTGACTTAAAGATTTAGTAGTCTTTCAACCACTCGCTTCTAAATACTAACTTAACAGACTTAATATACTTAAGTCTGACTGATTTCATTACTTCCAGTATGCATATACAATCAATTAAGAGTATTCCTCATAAGGCTACTAAACCTTCCACTAATGGTTTCTCCATATTTGAAATTCTACAGTATGAGCGAACCTTTCGTCGCTTGTTTACAAACATCCACCGAAACAATACAACTGCAATGTAGATGAAATCAGCTAACCAGTCTGCTCTCCCTCTCGAAATGCTCTCACATGGCCACGCGTATATAGCCTCTGCCAGGGAAGTCCTACTCACTGCCTTCTCATGGCGAGGGTGTTGTTTACGAAATTCAGAGGACGAAATGCAATATCCGGCCCTTTAACCGGGTTGGTGAACACGGCGAGTCCACCTAGAGGAGTTGGAAAACCCTGATTCCAAATCACTGGTGCACATGGACTCCAGTATCCTGAGGGAACAAATGGAGTATGAATCAATCGTTGGTCACCAGCTACCATAGGACTGCATTTCCTCATGATGCTTCACTGCCTTGTGGATCAGACCTTTAGGTCAAAGGCTCAGGGTGAGGTTCCCTGAGAAGACCACCTGCCTCGGTTTCGGCACCTGGGCAGTATCACATCCCTCACACAAATCAAATGAGATTTGTGTGGCGCATATGTATCTGGTTCCCCTTTGTACCAATATTTATGTGCCTAAATAAATAAATAAACATTGATCACCGTATAGTGCATTAAACTCAAAATATTAAAAAAAGGTAAAATGAGGAACTTAGAAAGGTGATTTTGTTTTGTTTTTCTTTCACTTACACCGTGAGACCATTTCGCTAGCATCTTATCGTTCCATTCACCTTCAACAATAAGAAACGGCTTTTTATCATTAGGTCCAAAAACCTCAGCACGTAAAGTATCTCTTTTACCACCATAAAAAGGTTTTGTTCGAAACTCGATATTAGCTAAATAGCCAGTTTTTAGGCATGTGATACTAGTTTTCCCACCCAACTCAATCCATGGAACAGTGAGAATGTTTCTGTGTTAAAAAGTAAACGAATATGAAAATATAAACGATTATTCGTGCACAAATGTGAAAATTGAACAATTAAAAACAGGAGTGTTAAACTTAAAACATGAAAACTATCTTTTATAACTAGTATTGAAATAAAACAGAGGCAACAATCTGTTGAAATGGTGTTTGAGATAGGAAATGACTTCTTATTTGCTAATCGATGAGACGTATAACAAGACTCCATAACAGGTATATTTGAGGGAAAATAATTGCATTCTTCAACAAAAATAGACCAGACTTATACAGATACTCTTTTATTCGATCGTCAGAATTTAATTATCATCAGTTGTATCATAAGGTTCGTAAGCTGATACATAATTTCTTGTCTTAATTGCATATCTCATACGTAGATGATAGTTCTAATTCATTATTATCACTAAACAAGTCAACTAACCAGCAACTTTTCTTATTTCACTGAGTTTTATAAACCACTTATCTACTTTGAATAGCTCAGTTTACAATTTATTATTATATAACTTTGGTAAAACTAAATATTGTAACTTCTTTGCAAGCGCTATTTCAAAGAGTGATCCGACAAAAAATTAACTGTTACTATGACTACTGTAAAGCTACGTGGGACTATGCACATATGTGCCAGATCTTAAGTGAACTGTGACTAACTAGCTTACAATTATAACAAAAAGTAAAAGACTAGGCCTTTGAAAAGAGCTGAAAACGAAGAGGTGTATGCATAATACAGAGAGAAATGGTACTAAAACAAGTATTTACTTTCATCTATCTATGTACAATATGAGCTTGTATCACATGATTTGTTTACTTAACCCATTCAATCAATCATATGACCTAATTAAAAGAAATTTCGTACTAACATTTCAAAATAAAACGAATTGTGTTCTATATTTAGAAAATCATACGATATTTAGCTTCCGGACTTTAGTTTAATGGACTGACACACTAAAAAGAAAATTTAGAACAGAAACATACGGGATATTTATGGTGGATGTTAATGATTCTTAATTGTGTAATTTTACTAAACTGGTTAATACACGTTCAAAATAACAGACACTAGGCACTAACAATAACATCAAAGTAACAACAATATACCTGACTGCCTAAAATGTAAAGGGAACTGTCAGAAACGAAATAACTAAATCAGTGCTTTAACAGTCCGTTGTTAGCTGTTAAAGATGCATTTTTAGTGTGTTAGTCTGATACATCATTGCCTGGTAAACGGTAAGAATGTCAAAAAACCCACTTCAAATTAGTCCAACAACATTGTTTTACTCGAATTCATATTATAAAAAAACCCCATTAATTTCCAAGTTTTAGATAGGATTACGTACTCTGAAACTAAATCAATTATTTCTTTTCACACAAGCAACAAGCAAAACAAAAAACACCCCAAAAATGGATTGATTAACCCAATCCACGCTATAATGTAAATAATCGCCCAGGAACGCAAACCAACCTGCCATATCCACATGGAAACGTAACCACATATTCTTCATCATGATTTAGTAAAGATATGACAGCTGAACCAACCATTTCTACAGCTATACTTAGACCAAGAAATTTTGATTTAGTCCACAAGTGTCCATCTACAGCTATTTGATTATTAACATGTTCAGCATAAAAAGCGGATATAGGAGGATGGTGTGATACCTAATGGCAGAAATTATTTTTAAAAAAACATTTTAGAAATACGACCAAATCACATGCTTGATAATCAGTAACGCTGATAAAAATGAAATATGTATTGAGCATGCTTCAGGGATGCCGGAACTTTAATAAATGTCATATTAACTACATGTTTATTCACATAACATGTACGAGACACATAATACTGTGACTGATTCATGAACCATCTAGTAACGATGTTATAAGCATCCACATAAAGCACTATGACAACTAAGTTATAACTTATAAAATCTCTAATATTTTACATTCTGAATATAAAAACTAACTACCCTATGTTGAAGGTGAAGTTGTATGTAGTATTTTTATTTCCTCAATGCAACAAATATACATTTTGACTCGGCTACAGTGGCTGGTCTCATATAACTGAAAAAACTGAGTTAGCATTTTTGCAAAACTTTGTTCAGTGAACAAAATCCACTTATATTTGTAAAAAATAAACCCCTGAATAGAAACCTTTTCAGCTCGAACAACGACTACTGGTTATTTTTGTTTGTATCGGTACTAATCAAAGCTTTGAAATTGGATAAATGAAAAGAAAAATTGCATTGGTTTGACAATAGTACAGCGAAATCACAGATATGCCTCACATTATGAAAAAACCGTATAATTCATGATAATCAGGAAAGTAAGATTTCTAAGAATCCGGTAGATTTTATTATATAAGAGAGAAAATTCAAAAAAACACATATGAGGATAACTGAAATAAATATGTATATTTAGTAAAGCTTTAGACAACAATAACATCAACAACAGAAGATATAGCGATAGTGAATACCAACCTGTTCTGCTAAGAAGACTACGGAATTGTTAGGCGCCCAAGGAACAGGACCAGAATTACATAATTTGTCCTGTGGTTTTTCTGATGCATTTGATGAATCATCTCCACTCTCTTTAGATAAAGGCCAATAACAACGAAATATTTCACCTAATGTAGGATTGTAAGGTTTCTTAGCAACTGACGATCGTCTGCCAGCATGAAATGCAGACAAATACCACCGAAGACAAGAAACCATACGATCACGAGGCGTTGATCCATTAGGAATAACAGCCCATAAATCAGCATGTGCTAAGAAATCTGCATACATTTCCAATGTAGAACGACGTTCGAGAATGAATGTGGGCAAAGTGATTCTAGTTAAATCCATTCCGATTCGAAGCTGAGAAAGAAGATGTGTTATTACAGAACCGTGAGATTGCACAGAACCTACTTAATAAACAACAAAGTTCAGAAGTGAGAATAAGTAAACCTAAGAAATACCAGTTGTGTTAAATGTTGGCAAAATCTACAAAAGTACTCATAGTTTAATTTTAGCACAAAAAAATAGATTCCTTAGAAATATACTTCACACTGTAATGGAAAATAAGCAATCGTAATGACAAGTACAAGTGTCCAGCTTGAAAGCCGTGCTCTTTAGTAGAACTGCACTATATCTCTATATACAACCTTTGTTTTATATATTACTCCCACTAAATTAACTACTTCTATGAATCCAGAGTTCATCTTGTTGCGCTAACGAGTTATGCAACTTGGACCAATGCATATGTGTGCCTGGCCCTACGTTGTAGCTGACTGACTTAGTAGAACTAAGAAAACAACTACATGTCGAACAATAAGCTTATTTAACTACATTATCTTAACCAGAAAACGATTATATTTAAAAATTATATTTCAACAAGTATTTCAGTATGAAGAACAAACAGTACGAACCAGCAAGTGCATATCAACCAAAATAACACCTGACTGTAACAACGCAAGGAGCCCTTCAACTTCGTGTATTCTGTAGCTAACAAGCAAAATAAGACTCTTAACCAAATAAAACAAGTCTCTCATAGATGTTTATTTTAAAGATTAGGATTGTTATCAAACGCCCAGTGAGGAGAATTACGTCTACAAATGGTCAACAGAAGTTGGTGAATATCAAGTAGCTTTTCTTATAATTTATACTACAGAACGTAATTAGAAAAAGTTGGTTACTATACTACTACTATACTACTATAAATATACTAACGATTTTCTAACTGTGCTTCCTACTTCCATCTACCCTTGTTATTCAAAATACAATTTCTTTCCTGTTCAACCGTGTTCTAATTTAGAGACTTGTCGAGTGAATTGGTGTCCAAGACTACTAAGCAATAAGAATAGCTGGGTTGTAAGACTAGGTTATAAACATTTTGGGGTTTAAATCTTCAAGTATGAGTATACGTAACAATACAAACTCGGCTTTTCAACGAATTACAGTTATTCCAATTCTTTGGTGGAGTTTCGTTCTCAGAACCTTCCTAAATATTAGTAAAATCTTCTTTATGAGTCTAGAACAAGCATCAATGAATTAACAGTACAGATCAGTACAATCATGATATCGTTACTAACCGTAATTACAAACAAAAACATAAACCAACCCTCCAAAATATGAAGGAGTTATTTAAATGATATAGCATACAATTGAATTATGATAGTTAAATATACATAGAAAAACATAAAGAATGGCATTTTGCAGGAACGATTATGATTTAATTTACTTACACTCTTCCTCATTTTCATCATCATACAATTCATCGAAGGTATCATCCAAAGACGAATTCGTCTGATTATTTGATGACTGACTTGGAAGATAACGACTAGATTTCGTCAGAGAGACAGTTGGATTAGAATACATGTTTATATTTGTATTACTAAAAGACAAAAGTGAAGTGTTTAAATAAAGGAATGGAGAAACAGAAAACAATGTACATGAAAACACTGTAGTCTGTGTGAATGCATAACAATAAAAAAGCCTATGTAGTAGCAATCATGTAATTTGAGTTTAAGACATTCAACTGCCAAAACCGTTAACGAACCCTCTCATTCCAGTTGAACCAGTTTGACCAACAAACTAATGTTGCTAGTATTGACAAAAAATCTGATGCCCACAGACAAGAACATGAACTATTACTTGGTTGTCGAGTTGCATCATACGAATTTATAAAACCTCGTGGTTATTCACAAATAGAGAAACTACCACTGTTTATACCATACAACAATAAGCTTAGATATGTCTAGCAGCATCTTGAATACAGTCGTAAAGCAATGACTTTGATTATTTTAGGTAGATAAATTGTGTCCGAGACGATTTTCAAGTGGAATCGTATTGATATAAGCAATATCAAACATACCAGTAGCACACACCTACGACAAGTAGTCACAGTAATTTTGTACCAACATAACCAAACTATCAACTCTACATTATGAAAAAATCGAAAATAATGTGAAGATATTACGCAGTTGATGGACACAATTTCCGTCCGCACAGAAATCTCACTGGTACACTGGCATCACTATTATATGTTATGTTCGTGCGTGAACGTACATACACTTGCGTACAAACAAACTTACGACGCTTAAATGTCGATAAGCACCTCGAGAAAATGTTGAGTTGTAGTACGTAAAATAATTAAAAATTCATCGTTATATATAGTATCGTCTTGTATCTAAATCGATGATCAATGCAATATCATTCACGAAAATATTTTTGTCATTAAATTTTGTGAATCCATATCTTTATTGCTAGATAAAATACAGCAATTTATTGTTGTCAGCAATTTCAAAACAATTAACAACAACATTGTGCGATTATATCCAATCATCAGCAACCAAGAAGAAATAAAATGTGAAGGTCATACTCAAATGACCTTTTGGCAATCAGAATAAGTTATAACTTTTAATACGAGTGTAATTAACATTTGAATCTATAACGGCTACGATAGCGTTAATTCTATTAAAAGATTGGGTTTGACTACTAAAGAATTTCAGTGTTGACTAGTTAGTGATAATTTGAAATTCTGTGAGAGAACTTGTGACACGCACACAAGTTAACCAGTAAGAAAAAACCAAGCTTCTAATACGTGACCCAGTAAAGTCTTTTTACATAATGTAACAATTAGTCCTACTGAAGCGACCTATCTAAAGCGAATGGTGATAAACCATGTTACCCCAGAAATATGTAAACATGCTGTCAGCTGTTTACAAATTCATACAAACTTGTATAAGGTTCCCATCAGCCAGTCATGCACAACGCAAAACCTGGCACACATGTGCATCGTTTCAAGTTGCCTCACCACGTCAGTATCTCGAGAAGCCAGAGTAGTAAGAGTAGCAGCAGCGCTAGTGGTATTAGAATTATGCATGAAGAATATGATTCCAGGATCTCTGGATTTGTGGAACAAAAAGTAAAATGAATAATAACTTACGGTGTTTCAGAAACATACTGTTTAAGGGAAGGCAAAGAGTGAGTGAGTCTTTATTATTTATGACTAATTCTGGTTCACGTCACACACAAAGCCTTATAACACTTGTTACGGTAATTGCGTAGACCCTGATAAAATGGTATGAGCTTAACTGCACCGTTCTGTCACTGAATTCATGGACTGATATCATGCTTTGAGTTCGGTAGGCCCTAGTTACCTTATTTATTTATTTATTTATTTAAACACATAAATATTAGTACAATGAAGCACCAGACAAATATGCGCCTCACAAATCTCATTCGATTTGTGTGAGGGCTGAGATACTGCCCAGGTGCCCAGACTGAAGCAGGTGGTTTTCTTAGGGGCCACACCCGGAGCCTTTGACCTGAATGTCTGATCCACAAGGCAGTGGAGCATCGTGAGGCGATACAGTACCATGGTAGCCGGTGGTCAACGATTGATTCGTACGCCATTTGTTCCCTCAGGATCCTGGAGCCCATGTGCACCACTGGTTTGGAATCAGGGTTTTCCAACTCCCCTAGGTGGACCCTCCATGTCCACCAACCCGGTTAATGCGCCGGACATTCGCTTTTCGTCCTCTCACTTTCGTAAACAACACCCCCGCCAAGAGAAGGCAGTGGGTAGGACTTCTCTGGCAGAGGCTATATATTAGCTGGCCATATGAGAGCATTTCGAGAGGGAGAGGTGACTCTCTCCACTCTCGGCCGTACCAGGGCATTTGGGGGCTAAAGCCGGCGACACCTGGTATTCCCAGCCGGTCACCCATGCAAGTACTGACCGGGCCCAACGTTGCTGAACTGCGGTGATCGGACGAGAACCGGTGCTTTCAACGAGGTATGGTCGCCTAGCTACCTACCCCTACTCTTACATAGTACATCGAGGCAAACGGTAGTTGGACATACCTAATATATGTTCCAAGTTGGAATATTTTAACTTTCAACCCTTTAATAAATAAGAACTGACATAATAGTTAGATTCAAATCATGCCCACTCACAGATGAAGCCTTTATGAAGACGGAAATTTCGGTTTCCAAACTGGAAAACCAGAGTTCAACACACAGAATCTCTATTTGCTACAATTCTCATGCTAAACTTTTATCAATTAGTTTCAATATTTCGAGATAAGATACGTACGTAATAAACCTAAAGGCAACTGAATTTAAAGCTAACGGAATATTCTGAATTTATCCATATTTGAAACTATTACTTGTCAACGTGAGTAGCAAAAAGCACATAGAACTACTATGTTGGGACTTAACTAATAAGACCAATTCATAGAAAAAAATGACCACAAAATTAAGATGGATTACTACATACTCCTTGACAGGTTGTGGAGAATTAGTTATTGCACAGTTGACAGAAATATCTTCTTGAGTATCAAAGAATTCTTCATCCTCCTCTTCCTGATCCAATTGAGCCTCATCATCATCTGAAGAAGAATAAGACCTAACTGGCATTCTTGGGATGGACAAGGGTGGATAATTAGCAGAGGGTGAATCTAATGCATCAAAACATCTTTTCACAATCACAGTATCATTAGGGAGTGATGAAGAAATAGTAGCTAGTTGCTCAGGATGTGAATATACTGAATGGGATTCGATGGATGATTCTGTAGTAGAAGATGGCCGCTTGTGTAATTTGCCTTTTTCCAAACGTCGAGAATTACGAGTAGAATGTTTTCTGGAAGGTTTCTGTGTTATAATAGGGGAAGCACCGGATAAGGATTCTTGACAAGAAGCGAATGGATTTTCACCGTCACCTTCACCACCTTGAGCGTTAATAAATGTATGATTTATACTGTGTACTTTTAAATCATAATCTGAAAGAGAAGTAAAAATAACAATGATAAAAATTCATACAAAAGAGTTATTCAGGAGAAGACTTTACAACAATGACGAACAATCAGTGCACAAAGTTGACTCTTAAAAAATGTATCTACAATAGTACAAGTGAAATCAGAAGTTTAAAAATGTATTTTTTTCGGTGATTTAAAGCAATAATCAGCAAAGTAGTTTGTCAAGACAGAAGGTAAGTACAAACATTACATTTTATTTAGTGACAAGAGTTGGAAGATTGAATTAAAGAACATAACAGTTCAAAGTCGCGTGAAAGTGCTTTCGCCTAACAGTTATTTATATAATTTAAGAACATCTGCACCAAGCCTCGATCCTGAAAACAATGAAATATCATACAGTAAAATTACACTACATGATATAAATAAGTGACATTTCAATATAAGCATATATTCGTTAAGATTTTAGACAATTTGGATGAGGCATAGTTATGTAAAATCCTTACTTGTTAAAGGTCAAATATTAACTAAATGATAAGCAACTACTTTGTAAAAAATCTATTTGATACAACTGGTTCCCCCTTATTAATTTGAATAAAGCAAAATAATATGAATCTATGACAGTAAATAGGAAGGATATATTTTAGATCAGAAGGGGTTTTGAGGATATTTCAGTGTTTTCATAGTTGAAATCATGAGTTAATTGAAGCTAGACCACTATGAAAAACCTGGAAGCACTAGACGGCGGTTTCGTCCTATTGTGGGACTCCTCAACAGTGCGCATATCGCGGGTGCGGGATCGTGGATGCGCACTGTTGAGGAGTCCCACAATAGGACGAAACCGCCGTCTAGTGCTTCCAGGTTTTTCATGGTGGTCTAGCTTCAATTGACTCATGATTTCAACTATGAAAAAAAGAATATATTTATAAAATCTCAGCGAATGAATATGAAGTAAATCCAACGTGTCGTCTGGCAATTTGGTCCAAGTTTTTTTCAAGGAAATATAATCAAATATAAACTCGGCGCCCAAATACTATATATATATATATATATATATATATATATATATATATATATATATATATATATATATATATACCTTAAAATAATGAGATCAAGTCTTCTGAATTTGATTAATATTGAGAAATTCAATTAAATAGAACAAACACATTTTCAAACTAGTCTATGAATGGAATAAATTACACTTTAGAACAATGGGATATACCTTTCACTTTCAGTGTAGAATAAGCACTGTTTGATCTAGACGTATCGAAATGTAAAGTGTACGGAATATCAACTACATCAGAAACAGTGTTGTCATTCAAAGTAATCGGTATACGATATGAACCACTGACTGAACCCTAAAGTTAAAAGTATACAGAAAGAGATATTTTAAGGTGAGAAAGATAATAGTTTGAAATTCAAATATAAAAAATTTATTTCCATATTAATCAAAGAAGTGGATAAATCAAAAACTTAAAACCATATATAATAGTTAAAAGGAAGGCAAATTTATCAAAAATGGTATTTAATTCTGTTTGATTTATATTAATGAATTATAGATACTTTATTAAAAATAAACAATATTCTTGTCACATGTCTTATTATATCAGGTCAACAAATCGATTAGTTAAACAAGGTAACTTCTGTGTGAAACCCGCTAGCAGTGAGTTTATTTTGTGACTATTTAGGATATACTGACAACAATGTAGAAACATTATAAATTGGGAAAATTAAGCGACCTATGCACACAAAAAAGGTACTGAGTATGTAACTCATTTAATTTTATTGATGGAACCTTAAAAAGTATAAACCCTACAGAACCAAGTATGGACAAGCAATACTGATTAATCAAAGTATGTATCAAAGATCAAGTACTGTACAGACAGGTTCCAAAACAATACAAAATAACTACGAAGTTAGTAACATACTGTCAAAATGATAACAGAATCCAACCCAATTTACAGCCATAACGAAGTTGATACAAATTTAGAAACAACATTGAAAAATAAGAATACATTATATGAACAGGCGTCATTCCAAAATTATTCTGAATGAACACTTCTGATATATATATATATATATATATACGAAACTAGTTATTTACAATGAAGCGAAATAGTAAATAAGTTTTTTGTAATTTATGACGAATTATTTATCTTACTTTAAATGGAAAAACATACTAATTCAAATGAGTGATCCAGATATTTTTATTACTGGTTTCTTTATACAATTAGTGGAACCGCAGAGAAATAGTAAATGCGACAAAACAAGGGAAATGCCGCTTTTAGGGAAATTTAAGGGGCATAGAAAGTAAACTAAACGAATGAGTTGAAATAAGGACAACAGCACAGTAAATTTTAAGCCATACTTTATGATTAATTGCGAATGAAAAAGAAAACTATAAGATGAATTACACCGAATTTTATTTCAGGTCACTAAGTTGCCCACATACAGTGGCTCGACCGTAGCTGCAACCTTGACGTGGTGGTCAGACTTGCCTATCGTGATAACCCAACCGAGTTATATTGGCTGTATGTGAGCAACTTTTCAGAGGTGGCGCAACATTATCGCCAGTGATCTTCAAGTTTGACGAGGACAGATATAACAAGCATACAAGTAAAACACTTCTCATTGCAGAACTTTACAACCAAAATTATACGGTTAGACCAGCTTCGTGATGACTGATGCATGCTACTGTTGGGTTACGTCATATTAGTAAACATCTTTCCTAATAAACTATCACAAACAGCGCCTCTAAAAGAATTTTGAGTGTGAAATCTAATCTGCTTATTGATCCGTTTGATACTGATCAACACCTATGGAAGAGATACTGTAATCTACCTAAAAAAGCAACCATCATTATCAAATACGATAGTGGCGAATTAAATAAAAATGCACCGACAAGAACTATTTTAAATGAAATCACATTCGAATGTACGAATATTTTTTTGAGTTGAAAAATAACTGTGATATGAAAGGTAAAAATAAAACCCGAGAGTCACGTCCTAACTTCATTGGTGCACGAGTAGCCTACGGAATAGTAATCCATCAATTGTTCATGTTCAATAGTTTGTACGTGAACATATGATTTTACAAGAGGAAAAAACGTATTCCGATGGTCACTTATGTTGTGCTTTTACAATAACCAAGTATATGGATCCACAGGATTAAATATAATGAAGTAAAATTAACAGAATGGAGACAGACAAGCATGCATACTGTAATATTACCACGATTAGGATATAGTGTAATAAGTAGACGTAAATGTTGGTTGTAACTTGTAATTTTGCCAAATGAAAATTACCTATTCCATCCGGTGAAACTATATTACAGACATAAAGGAGGAGGAGATATATTTACACATTAAAGAAACATTTAAAACACCAATCAATTTTAGTAAATTTGTTGTTCCAATCAGTCTAAAAATCCCACAGAAAATTATTTGATAAATAAGACCGAAACCGAAGAACAGATCATGGATAATGCCATGAACTAAGCGATGGGTAGAAGAATTAGTTTAAATCCAGAAAAATCGCCACATTTCCCCTTTTCTACAGTTGTCCAGAATAAGTAGTTTGGATGAACACAATCAGAACTACTTATTTGTCCATAAACTATAACACAAAAGTTAATTAAGGGGGACGGGGAAAGTATTAGTTCCATTCAAGAAGAAGAAGCAGAACCCCGAATGGTGCACAACACAAAGATTTTTCAGCTTATTACAGTACTATTAATTCATAAGTTAAATGCTATAATCGAAAGATTGTTTCCCATTTACACTATCATAGAAACAAGTCTTCATATCTTAAACTGAAATGCTAGAAAAGTGATTAATATCATAATCCAAACAGATTTCGTTGGGGAAAAATGGAAAGCATTGTGATCATTTTTCATGAAAAAAATAGTGAGACAAAGGTACCCATTATATATTACAGTGCAGAAAGCTTTTGGACTGTGACAGACAGCAGCTATCATGATTAAAATACTTGATAAATTCGCTTAAACAATAGTCTAAATTGTAACTTGGCCATTAAATGTTAAAGTAGGGTTTTCCTAATTAGAACTTATAAAAAACAATCATCTTGGCAAAATACATACTATGAATGATCCGTACAGTGGTTAAAGTTGAAAGAAAAGAAAGAAAATGATCAAGTAACGAAACTATGTGTAATAAAGTAGTTTCATACAAACTGTAAACAAAGAGCACAATGAACATCCAAGCTGTGAATTGAAGCCATCATATATTCTTACATGCAATTAGCTACATTCATCAAGTAAATGAGATATATGCCCATGATGAGTGAACAAAGCAAACAATTATTTCCAAGAATTGGTAAGGAAGTACCATTACAAATTTTTTTTAAACTTTGAAAAGACTAGAATGCACCAAAATAAATAACCAGTTACACATTTGTACAATTAACTACTGCGTATATTACATTCAGTCGGTGACTTGTCTATACTATGAAGTCTTAGTTTGTAGAATTGAAACTAAATTAGGAACGAAAAATAACTTTCCATGTATTCCACAAGAATGATAAAAAAGACAATACTGGAAAACAATCTAAATCCAGCAATTTGCGAATAAGAACAGATATATTAGATCGACCCAAAGAATACACAGATATACCGTCATTCCACAATAATCACTATTTCCAAATAATAAGTAAACGGTGACAAAAATATACTAGTTACAGAATAAGAATAACTGACGAAATATAGAGTATCACTATCGATGTAGAAGCACAATGAATCCTCAACATTAATCCAACGACCTTTCTGTCAGGTATGGATTGAATTTATAACCACGATACAACCCTAATAGATTGTACACCAACCAACATTTAACTCCAAATACTAACCGATACAATTATTTACTGTGATCACTTATGGTAAATATGATCTTGTTAACAGAAGCATACGAACTTTTCTCCTTATTACGTCAGCCTGATAAGTTCAAAACAAAAACATAAAACAAAGATAAGAGTATCACTAAAACTATGAGTAGAGTACACGTATTTAAATACTATATATATATATATATATATTTCATAAATATGGGAAAATATTTACGGAAACTTAGCGTAATAAATATAAATAGTAGAACACACATTCAGCTGAACATTGGGTGTAACGAGAAGTAAATTATATACTCTAAATATCTTTTGTAAATAACAAATGTCCACCGTCGATTTGTTTACATTCTGTTAAGCTAATATTTACTGTTATGTGACTGACATAATCAACAAAAAATAAATTAGACTAAAAACTGAACAGTATAAGAAAATATATGTAGAAAGTGCAAATTCACTAATACAGCTTAAACCAGCTATTGATGGCTTTCATAGACTAGTGTCAGTTAGATATTGATGCAGTGCTCAAGCAAAGATATTTCTCAACATACATGTATCTAAACAAATATTCCAAGCCAAAATCGGCGATAGCATCGTATGAATAAACAAACATCGAAAATTCCTTACTAGTCACAAATAAAATAAGTGAAACAACTGACCAGACAATTAAAATTTGAATAAAAAGACTGAAAGTAGTTAGTTTAAAAAAGTCTCAGAGAAAACCGTTACAAGTTACATTCATAGTAAACACCGAAATCTATTCATAAATTAAATACTGAATCAAATTGTCACCAACTTAGTACACGTAGGCAAACGGTTCACTAGTAATTACAAGAATAAATTTTTGTAAAATCTTAAAATTTAAATAAAACTGTGAAATGAAGTTGCATAATCCTCGAAGAGTTGAAATATATATATATATATATATATATATATATATATATATATATATATATATATATATATTAATGCTACAACGAGCTCCTTTTGGTGATTCGGCGGACATTTATACAAAACATAAAAAACATGGCTATCAATTTAAGCTGTTTATATTTAACTAATAAACTATAAATATAAGCTAAATATGAGGCAAAACAACATCGCCCACAGTAGGTATATATTACCAATAGAAATAGACGCGTTACATAAAAAATTAAGAAACTGTTCGAGTGATCCTAACGCTATAAAACAGATCAGATAGCAATTGGTAAAACAAGAATAACAGAGAAACGTAAGTATACTAAAGTAGATTAACAGTAATATGAGTGAACTACACTGTAATCGGACCATAGAACATTAGTAAGTCTCAAAGATGAAGCTAAATCGCAATCCAGGATATTAAAATCAATTTATTTGATAAAACCAATAAGGACATAAAAAACTGTAAGCGAAAACACTGAAGTATTTAAATGACAACTAGTTTAGCGTAATATGATGGAGCAATTTTTAACAAATAACTTTGGTAACATAACAGTGCCAGTATTTCTTTATGCAATTAGTCTAAATCTTATGCCATCAGTTAACAAATATGAGATACCTTTAAGTTCCAATACAAAACTGGTCGTATGCTAACAATCTCGGATATCTTCTCAAATCACCAAAATCTTAGAATATAACAAGTTGAGAAATATTAGGGGAAATCCACTAGTCAAATGAAAACAACTTTCTCACTAAATAAATGGTGCATATCATACAACTGAAAAACATCCATCAATTGTAACACTAAAATAAAACCGATTTGTAAGATTAATAGTTATCATCAAAATTATCGAGTTAATTTTGTGAAATGAGGCAAGAGTAGACAGTCATGAATGTGCCACACCTCAAATCAGCACAGTGGAAAAGCAAGAAAGCAAGATAGGCAGAGCAGAGCACTTAAGTTCAACTCCAATGAAAAGTGGAGCGTGAAGGAAATCGTTAGAAGAAATAAGATTGAAGAGTGAAGAATCAGCAAATAAATTTGGCACAAAACTTGGAAGAACACATAGGATGAGGGAATCGGCATTACTGTGATTGATTTTGCGCTATGTCACCAAAAATCCTCAACCAATGAATAAGATTATTGAGTGGACACTAACCAGAACCGAACCGAATTCTTGTTTTTATTTGGTCATTCCTAGCTCTTTTCCAACATACGTCAGTTAACATTGCATGTCAAGATAGACGGCAGTTATACAGGCGTAAAACATGCTTTAACCATTCCAATCGATTACAATTTATAGACTCATTGTAGAACTTACACATTGATGATCCAGAATGTGCACTCCGTACATGTTTTCTATTTTTCTAGACATTTTGTAGTCATACACTGAAACAGGGCGGACTGTTTTATAGTATATTCAGCGTTCAGTTAGCAAGCTAACGTTTCTTCTACAACACAGGTAGCGAAAGAAAGCAAGAGCCATAGGAGCGCTTTCTACCCTTTCAGATATTTTGTCAGATAGTAACCTAACAGCGTTGATGAAAATCCCAAGATAAGTGAAGTGATTAACACCCTCATTTCATATTGTAAAACTAGGAATGATGCACATCAGATAGGAAGCAACATCTCACGTTGACAAGGAGAGATAATTATCTCGAACTAATGGAATTTATAACACTATATCTTTTCTGCCTCTTTATTTATTTTATTTTGTTTAAACACATAAATATTGGTACAAGGAAGCACCAGATATATATGCGCCTCACAAATCTCATTCGATTTGTGTGAGGGCTGAGATACTGCCCAGGTGCCCAAACAGAAACAGGTGGTTTTCTTAGGGGGCCACACCCCGAGCCTTTGACCTGAAGGTCTAGTCCACTAGTTATTGGAGCAACGTTAGGAGATGCAGTACCATGGTATCTGGTGACCAACGATTGATTCATACTCCATTTGTTACTTCCGGATACTGGAGCACATGTGCACCATTGGTTTGGAATCAGGGTTTTCCAACTCCCCTAGGTGGACCCTCCATGTCCACCAACCCCGTTAAAGCGCCGGACATTCGCTTTTCGTTTTCTCAATTTCGTAAACAACGCCCCCGCCACGAGAAGGCAGTGAGTAGGACTTCCCTGGCAGAGGCTATGTATTCGCGTGGCCATGAGAGAGCATTTCGAGAGAGAGAGGTGACTCTCCCCACTCTCGGCTGTACCAGGGCATTTGGGGGCCTCTTAGCTAAATCAAATTCATTTTAATAATCATAGAGACGTAGAAACAATGCTGTAGCCCGTCAGTAACTTCGAAGCCAACACAAAAAAACTGCTTATTCACGACTGACATTAGTCTGTTTCGGAAACAGATTTTAATTCATATTAATTTATCGGCTATTATCATTAATATTCAACTTACTCTGGCAAACTGGAGGCATACAATTGTCTTTTTCACTAGTTCGATAAGCCTCTGTAAAGATTGAAAAATGAAAACAAAACACTAGTAAGCATGACCAATTAGACATTTCATTAACAATGGATAAATATGTAAGTGATAAATGATGAAAGGAGAAATGCAGGGAAGGAAGGTAGGCAGGTAAAATATGGATAATTTCGATTTAGTTCACTGCTACACACCACCAGATGAAGACAAAGTGTTTAGCTTGCTCTTTTGAAATACTTATTAAACCTTTCTCAGTATCAGTGCTACCATGATTATTTTGCTATTTACTGTATTTAACTTATTTCATCATTTTGATGTGGTACGGCAGTGAGGGTGGCTATCACTTCCGGTTGCCCACACACGACCTTTTCGTGAATGATTCTCGTGTTAGCTCCGTACTTGTTGACACCTGACTGCCAAAGACGGATATCAGTGGGATAAAGCAAGGTGTGCATTTTTAGGGTAGACCTTTACTAACCTCACCCCTTCCCTTGGGAAGGCTGCATCACTGTCACGCTGATTGTCTGAAGGAAACACCTTACTACCGTCACACTTCTGTACAGTCAGCAGTAAGACTTCGCCTTCGGACCTTGTGTTTCCTGTTTTTAGTCTTACCGCTCTTCAATCGACCTGTATGGCATGGTAGAACCTTGGGGAACGATTGTCCAGCCAATATGGCCTAATAAGTTCGTCATGATTAGCAAGCCTGACCACTACGTCAAGATAGCAGCAACGGTCAGGTCATGAGGGCTAGCGGAAAATTGTTCCAGGCTCTACAGCGATAAATGACTGACTTTTGAAACATCGGAATCTGAAAGCGTTGAAATATCGGACAAAGATAAGAAAAAGAAGCGTGTTACTCAAGTCATTAACCAATCCATAGACAGATTTTGATAGACTTGATATACTATCCAATGAAAATAGTAATGATCAAACACGAGGTCAGAGAATAATGCAAGAGGAAAGACAATGAAAACATATGTGCAAGTATTGACAGCACAATTAGTATAAACAACTTGTCACATTTTAAGTGGACAGGACAAACTGATAGCTAATTAAAAAAAAACCAGTAAATCAATTATCTTTTTAAGTTCATGATGACGAGGCTGAGTATCAACATAAGGAAATCTAACACAAATGGAATGCCGAACTGAGAGAACAAAAGGCCAATAATATGAAACATAATAGGCATATAACATGACTAGTTACGAATTACTATTTGAATAACTGAGATAAAACACAGTTGATCTCCGAAACTCCCATTAATTGAGTAATCTGTACTTTAATTTCCCCGATTTGAAACAGTAACTGATTACAAGAAACGGTAATGATGTTTTTGTGTTACGATAAGAATCTTTATAGCCGTCACTTTGATCTTATTTGAAATTAACATATGCGATTTTAAAAACCATTCACTGTTGAAAATCAAAAGAAAGGAATAATCCTAAGTAATGAATAAGGTAATCATGACTGTGCAGCATTATTACCAGTCATCAATAAATGAAAGTGGCGCACAAGAAATGAACATGTCTACGATCAACAAAAATGTGTAAATTTGTTAGTATCCTTTTTTTCTTATGACAAATAAGATAGCAACAAACAGAATTATTCAGATTGACAACAATGATCGGTAAAACATTATAACCCAAAAGATACGGTTAAAATTCTTAAAGATAATGCGATAGAAACCGATAGACACCTTCAAATATGGACGTTAAAATACATGTTACGTCAGAAATAACGGTCAACGAATTCTGGATTCGTTGCAACCAATAAGCTAAACAGTCAATTAAGTTATTACCAACTATTTATTGTAATATAATTAGAAGATTTCCTCTACCCGATTACTAATATTACAATTGAAGCAAACAGTTTGCGACGAAATACGTGTCGATAGCTGACTAAATAGCTTGCGTTAATATCTGACTTTGGAATTTTTCAAGGTGAGTACGAGTACGACAGCGAGCAGCCATGACCTCAAGATCACAGGTAGATCCTAATGAATTATGGCAACCCTAGGACCACGCACAGGGTTTCCTGTTGACCATTTCCGACCAACCAATTGATAAAAGTAGTACACGCAATTTCGGGTCACTTAAACTAGTAACCACAGCATAACTTGATCGAAAAAACTCAACCAGAACTAAAACTTATACAAGTATGCCAATGGTCAATGCTTAGTGACCGATCAATATAGATTATCAGGGAAAATCTCTCCAAGTTATTTATATTCATGCAAAACAAACAAGAAGTGTGAATAATAAAACTAAATTTCTATGATTAATAACGTGTTTCGCAATTTTTGTCTTGACTTTTCACAATCGGGGATACATTTTGTCGGAATATCAAAAAATTCGAACTGTATATTATAAATGCATTAGTATGTCCTATTCATGAGCATAAAGGAAAGATCGATGGACAGAAAATTGATACTGTCTGGACTTTAGTGCCTACCAGTCAATCCATCGAAAACCTAATTAAAAAAACATTCTCAAAATGTCACTATAATGAGGTGTAAAATAGAAACATGATTATTACGAATTCACTTAAATCTAAGGAACATTGAACACTAAGTAGATTGATATTAAACATTTTATGAATCTAATAAGCACTTTCTTAACTGCCTGAGTACAGTGATAAGGTATGTCAATAAGGGTTGTATAGTAGCTGATTTCATATTAGAAATGTTAATAAGATATTATGCAATGGATGGATGATTTTGTTCGCTGATTAAAAACGCGAGTTCAGAAAGAACTGTAACATTCGAAAACAACGAAAATGAGTAAAAAGAGAAACAAAAATTGGAAATAAACTTTCGAGGTACACTAATTATTATGAGGCGTTATCTGACAGACAAAAAAAATGAATACCAAAATAGACACAAAATATCATTACGACAGAAAAAAGGTAATGAAACAAGTGGATTCACATTGCATGATCAGTTACTAAAATTATTGATCTATTAAGGAAAAACCCCTATTATATTTACTAAGTTGTTTTTGAACAGTTTGAAAGTAATTCTACTCGGCAATGATCAAAGATCACTTTTAGAAAAGTTTAAATGTGACCCCTTATAAAAGCCAGTATAAGATAGTGTGTATGCATTTCGAAACTTAATTACTACACACAAAATAGAAGGTAACCTAATCTTTCTGAGAACTACACAACGGGAAATGGATACAGATTTGTAAAGTTCAGCGGTTTATCACCATCCAACTGTAATCCCAATAAAAATACTCTTTATTTAACTACGATAGAAAAGTATTTCGCACTCCTTGATATACTTTTTGGGGAAAAATGTAAAGATATGTAATTACGCAATCTTCATTTTTACAATACAACATATTGTTGCACACTAATATGATCTAATACATTAGTGAGATATATCAACAAGTCAACTCAGAAAGTACACAGCCTGATACCATAATGATTTTTTTAATCGATGATGTATTTATCGGTAAATATACTTTCCAATTAATAACATTTAAGTGAACATGTGGAAGAAAAATTCACGAAGCTAATTAGTATCAATGAATATGGAATAAGGTGAAAGAAAGGAAATTGTAAAAGCTACTATTTTTAAGTGGTCATGAGAGACTGTTGACAGAAGTGCTGTATTTGTAGAGGTAAAGCTAACTAAATGACCCTTTTCCAAATGATAAAGACTGAATAATTGAATATTAAACACTTTTATTTCATAGATGATACCAAAGAAGGAACTTAACCGGCAAATTCTGCAAATATGTAGTAGAAACAAAACATTTCCAACGAAAACGTCAAGGTTCTAACGTAAGGAAGGATAAGAAAAAACAATGGCGTTAGTAGCTGGAATCAAGAAAGAAATGCTGCTGGCTTTATCGGACCACATGCTGAACCATCTGTGTTCACACAAATTCTCAACAACAAAAAGCGAGTCCCAGATTAAGATGAAAGTGAGAATCTTGATAATTTATTAGAGTAAGAGCTAGGGTACGGACATTGAATTTGGCCGCATCTGAATAAAAGCCCGAAAGTGTATCCGTTACCAATATAAGATTTCATATACGGTCCTTCTTTATGCTTACTGCCCCTCCAGTGGCATTGGCTGCCGACCAGAGATCTCTAACGAACTCTGTCTTAGACATTATTTACTAATCACTACTAATTATTATGCATGATTATGATATGTGCTTCATATTCCTGTAAACACGTATACTTTGTTCAGAATCTTATCCTTCTACCTTAAAAATTTCAAGTTAGTGTTTGACTGGTGATGCAGTTTAACGGGTTTTTTTAAAGTGTGTCCTACTCACTTAAAACAACTCGGCCTGTAGCTCCTCTGGGGGTTACTGCCGGTCCCAAGTCCGGGTAAAGGAGGAGGGTTGGGCATGGGGTTAGCGACCCCATCCCGTAAAAAACCAACTCGCTAAAAAACGCTAACCAGAAAAAATTATTCAAGCCATTTAAACTCTGCCCTGGGAGTGGGAATAATTATGACGTCTCATGATGAAAGCCGAGTTCCTTCGGAAGTCATGAGGCCGATGCACCTTCTTACACGCAGAGCGACAATTTTTATAGGTACATGGAATGTCCGGACAATGTGGGAAACCGGAAGAGTCTTCCAAATTGCTACAGAAATGAGAAAATACAACCTGGAGGTGCTTGGAATCAGTGAAACACATTGGATGCAGGTTGGACAACAACGACTACCCACTTAAAGCGCCTTTTCCTAATATCTGCCTCGATTGGCAGCCGGTCTGGTTTCTGCCACAGATTTTTACTGATGGTCTCTGTCCAACTGATCTAGAGTATCATACATATTGGGTAACAGTTGTTTTGAGTTACAGATATTCTTCAATAGTAGGAAAGCTCCCTTTTTTTTCTTCCCCGTGAATGTTGATGCCTATTCCTGCCGAAGCCGATGTCACACTGGATCCCTTCGTCTGCGTATGTTGCTGTGTATGAGATAGAACGTCTTTGTCATCTGTAAAGTCTTTTTCCTAATCCGAGGTCTTCACGATCGAGTCAGCAACTTGAAGAGAAAAGGT